TTAGGCACAAGAGGAGATAAGCAAGTAGAACTAGTGAATCCAATAATCGTAACAATGTAATGTAATAAAGGATATTTAAAGCTTGGAAACTGCTTATTTTGGGAATTTTTTCATATAGTGTTTTCAGTCTGGTAACTGGCAACTCTGCAGAAGGCAGCATTGGCAGAGAGAGCCTGCCTCCGAACAGTGGAGGTTGTGTGTCGGGGACGGAACCCACCCCAGGCAAAGGCTTCCATGCTGAATCTCTTGCTGAGGAAGCTCCTGGCATTTCTTGGTCAGTTGGAGCACCACTCTTTGCCATGATGGTGTCTCCCTAGGTGAGCAATAGCATCTTAAAGTTCACATCAGTTCTTCTGGCCCCAACTTTTGATCAAGTCTCCCCACCTCAACAGATACCAGCCCTCTCTTTTAGTTCATTTGCTGTGTTATGATTGACATATTCCCGGCATGCCCCCCACACACATATACGTGCACGCGCGCACGCACGCATGCACGCATGCACACAGACACAGACACACACACACACACACACGCATGCACACCAGTCAAGGAAGAAGCATGGATAGCTGCTGTGTGCATTCCAGTGTGCTGAAATTAGAGGACACACTGTGATGGCTTTCATATGTTCCTATGGTGGCTTTCATAGCTCACTGAAAGCTGGCGAGACTGAGCTGTCCACAGGTGTGGCGTCTCTGGTCTGCTTTTGAGGGTTTCCAGCCTACACCTTTCCAGTTGCTTAGCAGCAATGATATTGAATGGGATTTACTCAGCCCTAGATGACTAATGATTCCTCCAGGAAAAAATCCTTGAAACACTGGGATTGAGGATGAGACCCAGGCATTTACCACATTTGCAATGAGAGATTCTCCCCTACTCCCTCCCAGGATATGTAATTTAAAACAAAAAACCCAAAAATACAGAAAAACAAAAAAACAAAACAAACAAACAAACAAACAAAAACTAACAGTCTCTTGATCCCATGAAAGAAGTTAGCTTAAAGATGAAGCAGACAAAACAGGATTAAACTGAGTCAGAAAAGCTGAGGACTCCACAGGAATCCTCCAAGCTTCGCAAGGTTGAGACGGACGAGGCACCCAGCTTCATGGATGCAAAACTACACTGTTCTCGGCCTCTCTGAGACAGCCATTGCCAACAACCACTGTATTATGAGAGCCAATCTAATAACCTTCCTTTTTACTAGATTTTTAAAAATCAAACTAGAATTATATTGACTTTGCAATTCTGGATCAAACCCAGTCTGTACACACACACCCACCCTCCTTTCCTCTGTGAGAATAATTCCCCATAAGTCAATTTGAAACGGAATGTCCTTTACGTGTAACAAAAGGCACCCTGCTATAATCCTTCTGGGTTCTCCTGGTCTTGGCAGGCAATAGTGAGGTCGTAGCAGCCTTGGACTCTTGCTTAGTTTGGGTTATCCTTACAGCCCCCCGCCCTGAAATGTACCTGGGACCAAGCTGCAGATACACCACATTTCAAACAGTGGAGAAAGCTGCTCCTTCCTAGCTATCTCTTACTGACTGCTCTTTTGTGATCAGTTCCCACTCAAACAAGTCCCAGAACACATCTGGAAACTAGAGGCAGAGCACCAATCCAGTCTGAACCCAATTTGAATGTATCAACCCTATTTACCATGTTATACCTATGTATAGTTGGACATGCATATGATTTAAATCAGATGCACCATGGGCATATGAGCAGTGAGCTAAGTCTTAAATAACCTAAGCCTATCAATGAAAACAGAGAACCACTTATCCGGAGTCCCTTAGCTAGCATCTCCTCCTGCCTACAAGAGCAGCTAAGTAACCAGGACTTTGGGTTCTCATAACTCAAGGAGCCTGATGCAAAGCAACATATCTGCTGATACTATCATCTTGTTTTTGAATGAAGTTCCTTGTGACTTTACGATTTGGGGGAACTTCAATGCTTTAAACAAGAAAGACACCAAGACCCTGGAAACATGCGGCGACTTGAAGCAGCCTAGGCAGCTGCTGTGCTCAGGTGGAAAATGTCCCACCTCTCAGGCACTCATGGAGAGGAACATCTCCCAGGGGGAGCAGCAACAGGGCCTGCCCGATGTTCTGTCTGCTTCCATCAGATGTTCCAAGTCACACTCTTGACTGTTGCTGATTGCACTCATTCTCATGCTTTGCAATGCTAGGGATTAAACCCAGGGCCTCTAGCATGCTTTGTAAGTCTGTCTCACATTTACAACATCATGAAACCTGTACCCACAAGGCCTTAGGCACAGATGCTTTCTCCCTGACCTCTCCCATTATCATGAGCCCTAAGGGTGATGCTGTCCAGAAGGCAGTGTACTCCAACAGACAACAAATGAACGACTCAGCAGACTTTTCCTTATTTATTAGATTTCAGATACATGGGACTGGATGGGATAATCCCAGGGCATGTGGTTTACATGGGATCTGTGGGAGAACACATACGTACAGGGAGGTGAGACAGTGCGAAGGACTGCCGGTTATAAAATATATACATCTTAAGTCATTCCAGCCACAACATCATTATCAGAAAATAAAGCAATCTCTCCACATAGTGCTTCTCTTTGGTGCTGTTCCATGGGCTTGGACTCGACCCTCCTGTCTCCTTGTCACTCGTCTGTCATCCTTGCCTGCCACCTGTTTCCCATGGGTAATGAGTCTGGAGGAAAGGACCAGGCACAGATAGTATAGGCTCTGACCCTGCTATCCCCAAATGAGAGCCTCTTATTTCCCTGGGAAGTCATCTGTTTATAGATGCGAAACCTGGGAGGCATGCCTAAACCATCCAGAATCTTCAGAAAGGTTAGGGAACAAGGCAAAGAAATCCCAGCCAGCACCTCCTTCTACAAGGTTGGCTCTGTTTTATTTCTGGGTTGAAATCATCTTTATCTGAATACACACTTGCAAAGAGAGGTCTCCTCTCCATGGGTTCCAAAAATGGATATGAAAGGTAGCCTGGGCTTTTGCTCTGATTGGGGGAAGGTAGGAGATGGAGGGAGGTCTCTTGCTATTTCCTGTTTTGAGCACCTTGGCCTCACAGATGCCCCTCATCTGGCTAGTCTTCGAACAAGTGGGCTCTACCTTCGGACTCCAGGTGCCCAGTTTTCCCACAGGGCACTCAACTGTCACTGGTCCACTCTCTTTGCTTGTTATATAAAAAAAAGTTTCTACGCAGGCAAAAGCAGCCACCTCTAGTGACAAGTGTTCTATACGGGGGTGCTTGCATTAGTAGACCAAGGAGTCAAAGCCGCCCACTTAACTGTTGCTGTTTCAAAGCAGCATCCACTCAGGCAGCTGTGGGCATTTGTCTGACTCTTGCTGGTGTGGTCCGCAGGCCCAGAAGTGCTGAGCACTAGGTGGAATTTTAAGTGACGCCCCCTTTCCACAATTCTGGGCACACAGTGTGGCTGGGGGCAGTTTTCAGAGGCCAGGATCGCTAAGCCCAGCCCCTAAGAGTCAACCTAGCTTAAAACCAAAGTGGTGTCTATCTTGGATCGGGGACAAGGAGAGCCCTCTCGGAGGCATGAATACCTTGACATCCACGCACCCAGTGGCTCCGAGATGCGATTATTTGTGGGCAAAAGGGCAGGGGAAGGCTCTCCAGGAAAGTTTAAGCACTAACTATGTGAAGTGACCAGCCTCCAGTCTGGAGTCCCAGCAGTTCCTAGAGGTGTCACCAGGGAGGCAGAGCCGTTAGCCAGAAAGCCTGAAGGAGGAGACCCTTGCACTCCAGGAAGGGATCAGGAAGGTAAAGCCTGGAGGATTTCTCAGAAGAGTGGTGTGTCCATTTTCCAGAATGAACAGCTTCACCTATAGGACATACTATCAACCCATGAACCCCAGTGTGAGCTCACGACCGCCCTCTGAGTGGGAGAACCGGAGGAAAGCCATATTCATATGCCTAGGGATGAGGGGTTTATTAGGACTGGGATATGTCGGTGGACCACCCTATACAACAACCAGACTGCAGGGTCTTGCCAGGAATTAACCCAAGAGGGCTACATCAAACATCCCTGGTGCAAATGCCAGGAGGCTGCCCTCCTATGGCACAAAGCCTTGCCTTTTATGAGGTAAGGGGGGGCACAAGGGGGACCTTTAGAGCTCCTTCCTTTCCAAGGTGCAATTACACTTCCCCTCTACTGCAGGGTCTCTCACTGTCCTACACGCCAACCTAGGTTGCTGACCTTGAGCAAGAGTCTCCCAGATGCCCTCTGATGGGGCCAGTTCCTGAATTCTCCAAAGGTTTCTAGACTGGCCATGCCCAAGAGGAGGAGAAGAAACAATAGGCAGGGAACAGTGGGTACAGGACTCAATTCTTTTCTGAGTCCCTGGAGTTACCTCAGCTGGCTGAGGTAGGGGCAGGAAGCAGGGGAGGGGCTTCTCCAGGGGTGGGGATGTGGCTACTCTAGCAGGAGCAGCCACTGAGAGCTGGGTGTTCTGGGACAAGAAGAAAGGGGAAAAAGGGGGGGGGAGTCAGCTAGACTGAGGAGGTACAGAGCCTCAGGAGAGGCCACAGAGACCTCTTGCCCCAAGGGCCTGCCCTCTGTGACACCAACACCTTCAGGAGCACCCAATCTAAGTCTCTTGGGTCCTGGACACTAAGCACTGCCCATCCAGGTACCTCTAGGTCCTAAATAGGGAGTGGTCTTGAAGTGGATCCCTTTTCAGGAAGGGATACTTCCTCTGGTGGTCTCCAGCCTTAAGGGAAGTCAGTCCCAGCCCAAGCCTTAGCACTGCCCATGGAGAAGGAAAAAAAAATACCAAAGAAAATGCGGGTGACAGATGAGCCCCCCGCCCCCACCCTCCCATCCCCATCTCCCCCATCTGCTGCCCCCAGCAGTCTTGCACATGGCCAGGAAGCAAGAAAACCCCTTCTTCTGGGACAGCTCAGAGCCCCGATGCAGGTGTGAAAAGGTCGAGGCTGGTGGCTGTGGAGGTCTCCACATGGATCGTGTCCGTGTCTGCCTGTGTGCCGGGCCATCACACCTTGGCTTCCAGCATCTCCAGGAAGAGTTTGTGCATGGGCACCTTGCCCTGCAGTTTCACACTGTAGAAGTGCTGCACGGCCTTGGCCGCTGTCTGCCGGAGCAGGGGCAGTGTCAGCAGCAGCTTCCCGGCCCTCCGTGGCTCCTCGTGACGCTCGCTCAGCTCATAGTCCTGCAGGGCCTCATGCAACATGTCCTGAAGCTTCTGCACGGCCTCCAGGTTCTCGATGTACATTGAATCTGCAGACACAGGAGAGGGTCGGCGTCAGTAGGGGCTGGCTGCCACCCTAACATGGAAGGCATTTCTGGAGCGGAGGACTGACCGCACCCTGTCTGCCTTCTGCAAAAGCTTGACTATTCAGAGTAGAATGAGGATCTTCACTGCAGGGCTGAGTCAGTGACTGAAGGTGGAACTGAGCTCAGACCCCACAGAGAGACCATAGGAAGGCACAACCACGAACATGGACACACCTATCAGATGTCCCAGAGGTGTTCAGGAGACTCTGGAATCTGGATGGCAGTGTTAGAGTCCTATATCCCTCACTTTCAGGTCCTGTGAGACTTTAGGTAAGTTATATAACTTCTCCATCCCCCATTTTCCTAGCCATACCTACCTCATAGGATTAAGAGGATTATACAGCTAATGGTTTAGAACAATTAAGCACCTGGGTCATAGGAGCCTCATCGTTGTTGCTACTGACCCCATCATATCTTCATGATAATGTTGGGCCATGGGTACCACCCACATGCAGGACAGCCACCAACCTTACAATTCTGGCTACAGAACAGACAGACATAAAGGGACAGAAGTCAATGTCTAGGTGTTTGCATAGGTGTTTGCGGTGAGGAGAGTAGAGGGGTGTGGTGACAGAGGGAGTCAGTGGGAGTATAGCTCAGGGATAAGTGCTTGCCTAACATACTGGAGGCCTTGCTTGGGTCTCATCTTCAGCATCGTTGGTTTAGAATGCTTACAGCCCATGAACTTGGCCATCTGAAACACTGAGATACAGCTGGGTCTGAGCAAAACAGGGGGAATCTCCCAGTCCTGTGGGAAAACTACCCAGACACTTTAACATCTTGTGCTGCCCTCATAAACTGAAGCCCTGAAGCTTGCTGTGTGGACAGAAGGAGCAGAGCCAACCTTCTGCATTCCTTAAAGGAGTGGGCAAGTCCAGTGCTCGCCTGAACCAAACTGCGGAGGCATCTGCACCAGCTGGCTGGTCAGAGTGATGGTTCGAATGCCCCTGGGTCTCCTCCCAGCCTGTACTTTCCAGAATCCCTACAGGGCTAGGCCCCAGTCACCTCTGACCCTATTTTCCATCCTGTCACCCTCCCCAAGGAGCCACAATTGGCAGGTGCTTTCAACCAAAAATGAAATAAAATAACATTGCAAGATCAATTTCTTTGCAATCCATCAGCAAGTCTGTATCGATGGCATTGATAAACTGTTAATTACAAAATCAATGGCTATGAATTTTTTTCTGCTGTCAGAGAGCCCTAGAGATGGCTGGGATGCAGGTGAGTGACAGCTGGCACACTCTCAAGGGGCCTGGGTCAGCCTCTGATGAGCTTTGCTCTTCTGCCAGGTACCTGAGTCACCCCATCCACTTAGCTACAGGGGGCCCTTGTACTGCTGCCAGGAGGTCTGATTGGTCTCCTAGACAGCCCTTCTCCATCCAATATGCTCTGTAGGCTCCTGGGTAATTGTTCTGCCTCAGGACTATGACCTGCAGGGGTTATGCTCACCCAGATCTCCCTTCTGGACCACAAGGTACTGGGCTTTAGAAACCAATGGAAGACAGGAGTAAGGAGTCTCTGGTTACAGGCAAGGGCTACTGCCATGAGAAGGTGGTAAACACCTATAATTAAAATACTTGGAAGGCTGATGCAGGAGGATTTCTGGGAGTTTCGGGTCAGCCTGAGATATACAGTTAGTCCCAGGCCAGCCTGGACGATAGACTGAAACTGTCTCAAAAACCGGAGAGGCTCCAATCCCCATTGGCTTACTAACTGCAGCAAGTTACCTAGCTGAAGAATGGAAAGAGTGTGCTGAGAATGGAGAGGGGCAGGGAGGACACATGGAATTCCATGTGCTGTTCCTTTACAGAGCTACAGCAAAAAAGAAAACACAACAACATGTATTAGGTTAGGTCCTTAGGAGCAGAGCCTAAGGCAGGGGTTTAGGGTTAATGATTTAGGGGGGGAAGGGGGGAGGGAGAGGGAAGAAGGGAGAGGGAGAGGGAAAGGGGGTTTCAGAAGGAAGAGGAGGCAGGAGGCCAAAAGGAACAATACAATGCCAAGGCCCGAACCCACACAGATGTCCAAGGCAGAGTGCTGTGCTCTGTGAAGCCTCCATCGGCCGACAATGCCTGACTGGGGATGGATGACTTCAGGAAAGGCACCAGAAGATATTTCTGGGGAGCTAACAGCAACAAAGCCTAGTTGTTAAGGATGGGAGTTCCTGGGATAAGAGACTTTCAGGGAAAGCCTGGCACGATTAGTGAAGCAGGAGTCTGTCTGTGTGTGTGTCTCCACCTGGGAGCCAGCTTTCCCTCATCATGTGCTGGGAACACTCTTTCCTCTGATATTATAACAACAGAGACAATAATCAATATTTACTGAGCTTTCCTCTAGGCCAGGCACTGGGCTGCATTATCTTCAATTGATCTTTAATACTCACAGGTGCTTGAAGTGGACCTGGGAATACCTCCTACTCAAGGACAGAGCTAACCAAGGTCATGCTGTTCGTGTGAGGGAGTGTGTGTGTGTGTGTGTGTGCAAGTATGTATATGTACCATGTGTGTGCAGTGCCAGTGAAGGCCAGAAGAGGGCGTTGAATCCTCTGGAGCTAGAATTAGAAGTTTGTGAGTGTTGGGAAGTGTGTGGGTGCTGGGAACTAAACTCCGGTCCTCTTCAAGGGCAGCCAGTGCTCTTAACTGCTAAGCCATCTCTTCAGCCTTGGGGATAGAATTTGAACTCCTGGCCAGTGCCCCTGCAGCAGGATTACGATCCTATGTGCATGTTTCTAGTACTGCTCTCACGTACATAGAGACCCTGTGTGTCTCTTTCCCCAGCACCCAGCGTACCTCCAGTAGGACAGAGGCTCTAAGCATAGACAGATCTGCTAGTTACCTAACACCTCAGCCTGGATAATCCAGTTGAAGTTGTAGGGAGCTTAGGAAATAATGAATAACCTACAACCTTTTTAATACTAGGTTAAGCCATCACATGAAAAGTTAGATGTAGTGCACCTGGTGATCTGATGAAAAGAGTCCAAGAGTAGCCATAAGCCTGTGCTCTCTGAGAATTACATGACTGTGGCTTAGATCCTAATTCTGACTTTTCTCATTTCTTTTTATTTTATATATATATATATTTTAAGATGGAATCCCACTGTGTAGTCTTGCCTGGCCTGGACCTCACTGTGTAAAACAGGCTGGCTTAAAACTCAGAAATCCCCCTGCCTCAGCCTGTTTAGTGCTAGGCTTAAAGGCCTGTGCCCCTACACCTGAACTAACCCTGACATCTTTAAACAGCGTTACCCTGGACAAATTTACAACTTTCCCAGCCTTGATTTCCACATCTGTAAAATGGGATTATAGTAAGAGTTATGTACATAATGTCCTAGCCAGTTTAGCAACCTGAGCACCCACTACTGTATGTTACTTAATGTGGTTAACATAATATAAATAAATTAATTGTGGAATAGGAACTGCTTATTTATGGTCACTTAGACTCAGAGTGAAGCAAATGATTCAAGGGGCAGACGCAGACCTAGCCCTTGTCCTTTGGTATCTGTGCAAGTAAAAGTCCTAAGAAATACAAAACCAGTGCTGGCCTCCATGACCATCGTTTGAACTCCAGGCCACCCTTGCAGCGTGTAATGGCTTAACTTAAATGAGTACTGTCCTCATAGGCTCGTGGATTTGAACATTGATTCCCAGCTAGTGGCGTATGGAGAAGATACAGAACCTTCAGAAAGTGTAGCCTTGCTGGAGGACCAGCTTTGAGGTTTATAACCTCACTCCACTTCCTGTTCGCTCCCTCTGCTCCCTGCGTAGGAATGAAATGCTATCTCTCCGCTTCCGGCTGCCACAGTGAGCCTTCGCTCCCTGCTCCCGTAGTGTACTCTATCCCTCAGGAATCCTAAGCCAAAATTAAACCCTTTCTTCTGTAAGTTGCTTTTCATCACGTAGAGAAAAGTAATGCGGCATTGGCGGTGTTGGCTGATCCAATCCGTAAGCCAGCCCCGCCCACAGCCTGAGCTGTGCTTGTTAGGCTCCCACAGAACCCCTGAAGCCCTCTGAGGGTCACGTGCCACCCTTACCTGAGTTGGCGAGGGCCAGGGCCTTGAGGATCATAAACTCTTCCTTCTCTACCTTGAGCTTCTTGTACCTGTGTACCAGCTGCAGGATGGCTTTGTAAAGCTCCAGCAGCCCCACCAGGCGCGAGTGCTCCTCATCCATGATATAGTCCTCCGCATACGCCAGCTTGTCGTCGTAAGGAAGTGAGCGGTACACGATGCCCAGGATGAGGATCTCCATCCAGGCACTCTGCAGCAGGCTCATCTGGTCCCCGAGTGTCAGACTGAGGAAGCCTGCAGAAGAGAAAGAAGTCAGTGATCAGAGGTGGTCCCACAGGCTTCCTTGGCGCTTGCTGGAGGGCAGCTTCTCAAGGGTAGGTTGTGTCCTTACATCCCCAGACCCAGCTGGAAGTGGGGGAGCCCTGTGGTGTCTGTTGCTATCCCCTTAGTAAATGAGTCACACCGGAATTCATGGAAAAGACTTACATAATAAGAGTTGAGTCAATGTTGACAGTTACTACCACTATGCTCATTGGTTCTAGGTCTTTCCCAGCGTGGAGAGACAATGCTGATTAATTAGGTGCATGTGTAATCAAAGGAGCTGCTGAATTAATAGCAGGATTTGGGGGTGGCAAGATGGGTGCCTCCAATACCCTGCTAACTCCAGGGAAGCTCTCTGCTTTAATACCAGACAGATCCTTCCAGCCAGGAAGGAGGATTCAGTTATCCATGGCCTGCCTGGGCAGAGGCTGCTAGGAGGGCAAGGCTCCAAAGACAGCCTGTGAGCACTCTGGCTGCCTGGACTGTCACCACTGTTCCTTGAGAAGACTCAGCAGATGTGCTCTAGACACTAGTACTCAGGAACACTACCTCCTCCCTCCAGGGAAGGGAGATGGGGGTTAAGAGGGTATACTGGCTGGTTTTGTCTATCAGCTTGACACAAGCTAGAGTCATCAGAGAGGAAGTAGTCTCAGTTGAGGAAATGCCTCCGTGAGATCCAGCTGTAAGTCATTTTCTCAGTTAGTGATCAATAGGGGAGGGCCCCTGTGAGTGGTGCCATCCCTGGGGCAGTGGTCCTAGGTTCTATAAGAAAGCAGGCTGAGCAAGCCACTAGGAGCAAGCCAGTAAGCAGCATCCCTCCATGGCTTCTGCATCAGCTCCTGCCTCCAGGTTCCTGCTCCACTTGGGTCCTGTCCTGACTTCCTCCAACGATGGACTATGATCTGTAAGTGTAAGCCAAATAAACCCTTTCCTCCTCAACTTGCTTTTTGGTTGTGGTGTTTCATCACAGCAACAGAGACCCTCACTAAAACAAAGGGCTCTAGAATCGTGACACTGCTTTGTCCAACATGCTGTGAAAGATTGCCTGGGCTTGACCCTGACTGCCCAAGTACTAGCTTGTGGGTGGACCTTGATGAGGGCACGTAACTTCTGTAAACCTGGACCTCTGCTGTCATTGGAATGAGCACGAAAGCAGAGTGTGCTTCCAAGTGGTTGGCATGGGAAGATAATTATAGACCGCAAGGGTTCTTATTAATGCCGAGACGAAGGTCTGTGTCTACCAGATGAGAGTGACACGCTCAGATTGGACTGTTGTGTGGAGTTGATTTAGGCAAAGTCACTTAACAGCCTGATTTATGAGAAGCCAACAGAGAAGGGTAAGGTTGCTAATTTCAACCATCATAACCACTAAATAGGAGGCAGTAACTTCTCAGGGGGGCTCACCCAGAAACAGGCAGCAGATTAGTCAACTTCTAAGCAAGCTAGATTTATTAAGAGAAGGAAACAGCTGGACATGAAGGATACATGCCTGTAATCCCAGTACTTGAGAGGAGGATCTGGAGTTCAAAGCCAGACTTAGTCTCAAGCAAAACAAACCAAAACAGTGCTGAGACTACAGGACAGTTGTTGAGTGCTTGCCTCGCATGTTTAAGGCTCTGAACTCAACTCCCAGGGCATGGAAAGGTGAGAAAAAAAGGAAGAGTCCACAAACCATTTGCACAATGTGCCCTGTGCAATTTGAAATCAAAGGATTTGTTTCTGGGTAACCCCTGCCAGTGAATTTGCTAACTTAGGACTTAGCCCTGCCTAATCATTGCTTATGGCATGGGGGTGTCACAAGGATGAAAGGCATGTGTGAAGACCTCACACCACTTCTGGCACACTATCCTTACCTGCAGTCATTATTACTTCCTTCTCCTCTTTGGATTTGCCCAGTTCCTAGATGGCTTTTAGGGCCCATGTGGTCTCTTTTTCTTGTTACCTACCCAGGGTAAGTCCCTTCCCTCCTGGGGTACCTGAGGTTGAAGGCCAATTATCTTGCCTCTATTTTCTAAGTCCAACCATTATGGACCCTGGACCTGTCTATACAACCTTTGCCTTGGATCACCTCCTAGCTGCCAGACTCCATGGGCGACCAATCACAGAGCAGGAGTGTATTCACCAACTAGTGGGAGCTTTTGGTGACTGTAGCTCCCTGGGGGTTGGGGTGTGTGGGGGGAACAGGACAGAAGACAGGGGTTAAACTGTGTATCTGCCCACATTCCCAGTAGTACCACAGAGAGTATGTGGGTGGGGGTGGGGCAGGACGCTGGAGGTAATAAAAGGTAGATAGAAATGGACATCCAATTTCCCTTATCAGGTCCATGAGTAGGAGAAGCTTTGGGTGACATTAATTAACAGATACCAATCAGCCAGCATGGGAGGGTGTGGGTGTGGAAGAACTGGACCGCACAGGGAGGGGTAGTCTCAGAGCAGAAGGATTAAGGAGGGAGGAAGAGACACACGGGTGAAGTGAACAGACAAATGAGCTGGAAGCAGCAGATGCTGGGAGTGGGGCATGGCCAGGCTCTAGGCATGGGAACTTGCGGGTGAGGCCCATCCCTCAAGGCATGGCCTCTGCAAGACTGATGGCTGCTCACCATGGAGACGATGTCACATGTCACTAAATGTCACCAACCAATGAGGTGACCCACACCTTTAATCTCAGCACTGGGGAGGCAGAGGCCAACTGAATCTCTGAGTTCAAGGCCAGCCTGGTTTAGAGAGTAGTGTTCCAGGACAGCTGGGGAGGAATACAGAGATACCTTGTCTCAAAAAAGCCACCATAAATAAATAAATTTTAAAAAAGAAAGAAGAACTTCAGACTGGAAGGTTCTGAGAACATGCCACCTGTAGTGATGCTAAAAACAGGGAATCCCTGCACAAGCAGCTGGGGGCTGAGCTCTGAAGGGAAATGCCACAGAGATATAGATATTCTCCTGAGCCCCAAGTTTGTCTTCCTACCCACTTAGCCTCATAAAGCAGTCACAGCAGAGGACAGACAGATGCCTCGGCCTGACCCTGAGATGGCAAGAAAACAACCTAAAACCTTTCCTTAGAGACCCCATTAGATCCCATGTAAGAGGCTGGAGTACCATGGGGTTTGGGGAGGGGAAGAGGAGTGCACAACAGCCACCTGGAAATTTCTAACCTACTGGGGGAGGGAACACCCAGAAGGCTTACTCTCCTACCACTGGGCCAGCTGGGTGTGAGGTGTGAGGTTCTGAGGGGCGGGCTCACCCATCTGGGAGGGAGCTCCATCCTCCTCTCCAATATCTGAGAGGTCCTGGACAGAGTTCTGAAAACCCCAGCACACAATCGACATGCTAGCCACCAGGCAGTAGCAAGTGTGTTCTGTCACTACTTAAAACCATTTTAGTGCTTTCTAATAGTTGAGAAAAGAAACACAACAAGAGGAAATAGGGATAGTTAACTCCAGGAGAGGACCAGGGTGGAGATGAGAGACGGGTTGCTGCTAGCTCACAGACAGAACATACGACAGGAAGGAAACTATGGCAATGCAGTGTGTGATACATGTATTATTACATCAACCCAACATGTGATGGAGAACTATTTATGTGGATGTGCAAAGACATGTTGGAGGCACAGACTCTAAAATCAACTGGTCAAAGTAGTCGCTCTGTTGGCCACCGAAGGTGACCCTAGCCAAGGCTACCTTCTCTGACCCTGGGTCTCTACATTCCTCTGTAAAATGGAACTGACGGTACCATGTTAGAGGTACAGGGGTTAAACTTGTGCACACACAGAAGACTTCTTCCTCTGCTTAGCACATAGGCAGTGAAAGTATCTACTATCATTGTGTGATAAAGTAGGGTGAGATACAGTGTTAAAATGTGAGCTCGTGGTGGGAGGGAATACACCACTACTGGCTGTGTTCTCTCTCTCTCTCTCTCTCTCTCTCTCTCTCTCTCTCTCTCTCTCTCTCTCTCTCCCCCCCCCCCCGCCGGCCCCCCCCCCCCCCTTTCGCCCTCCCTCCCTCCCTAGAAGACTACAGGTTTTCACATTCACTTCTGTTACACCTGGCATTAGCAGAGAAGAAGATGCTCTTGTCATGTAAAACACAAGCACCTTTGGGAAAACACTCTCTACTGTGTTTCCAATTGGACTGAGCCTCCAACAATTCATCCCGGATCTGGGCCAGCAAGGTCCCTGGAGCAGAAAGTCTGAGAGAGGCTCAGGTGGCCAGCAAGGCTGGCCAGCCCTCTCTATAGCTCACCCTGGGTGGTATTGCCCAGCCCAGGACACCCGGCTCTCAGGCCTCCATCCGTATGCTCTTCAGCCCCAGGAAAACTGCGTTATCTGCACCAGTGGATCTACTAACAGCAGGCCCCATCCCCCCACTGACACTATGTTCTCCTAGAATTTAGAAGAAAAAAAAGCACATAATTTGTGGCAAGTGGAGTTCATAATCTGCTAATTTATGATGGTCTCCGCCGACCTGGAGGGCCATTAGAGTGGTAATAAAGGGAGATGTAATTATAGGATCTGGGGCCACTTCAGACACAGCTGCTGCTGCTCGGCAGCTCATCCTTCATCCAGCCAGACAGTGGTTCCCTGGGAGCAGGCTGTCCAAAGAGCCTCCCTGAAGAGGCCTCTGGGGAATCCCCTTGCACACAGCAGCCTGGGCTGGGCAGGAGTGGTGACTCCCAATGAGATGAAGGCTCTGCTGGCCAAGGTGGAATCCAAGCTGCCTGGGGAGGGCAAACAACGGAACAAAGAGGCAGGAGACTGAAATTCACTGAGTACTACCAGCAGCCTAGCTACAGCGGCTGCAGGTTCTGGCTGGCTCTCATCTCTGGGTCACATGGGTCATCGGCTGCTGCTCTCACGCCTAGGGCTTACCCTCCAGGAAGCCCAATACTTGGAAAAATTCAACTCAAAGCAACAGCTTGTATTTACAGTAGTGTAACCAAACAATAACCAAGCAAAATGTTATTTTTCTAAGCCTGTGATTGCAGCACTGAAAAGGTAGAGGCAGAAGGACGGAGGACCACACCCTCAAGTCAGCCAAAGCTACATAGTAGCATCCTTGTCTCTGAAAAGTAGGACCACAACCTCAAAGCCAGCCAAAGCTACATAGTAGCATCCTTGTCTCCGAAAACTAGAATAGATGATGGTGAGCCCTTCCTGGTCCTAGATTTCACTCTGAGGTTTTAGTTACCCAACTGGGTATGAAGAGATGAGGTAGCAAATTGCAGAAATAAACTTTTTTTTTTCGAGACAGGGTTTCTTTGTGTAGCCCTGGCTGTCCTGGAACTCACTCTGTAGACCAAGAAATCCGCCTGTCTCTGCCTCCCAAGTGCTGGGATTAAAGGCGTGTGCCACCACCGCCCGGCTATAAACTTATTTTGAGTTTTAAATTTTGCAACGTTCTGTGGACTGTGTGATCTCTGTCAGTCTGTACTGCTCCATACACCAAACCAGCTGTTTCCTGGTGTAGCCAAGTTGTATGCTCTGCCTCCCTGGCTGTCCCACAAAGCCACCTCAGTTGTGAAGCCGAGTATCAGGGTGTAAAGTGCACACCTATGCTCAGGTGGACCTCATTTCACTCACTAATAGCCCCAGATGCAGAGGAGGCGCCAGGACATAGATACATAAAGGACAAACAAAATCTAGTGCAGTGAGATTATAAAAATACAATACACATGGGTTTCAGACACGGGAACCTATTGGAGGGTTCAGGCTTCTGGGCTGGGGGTAGGGTGAGATCATCTCTGTTTAATGAGTGGACACCCCTACAACTCTGTCTAAGCCACATCTTGGGAGAGACCCACTGTCCCATGCTTACTCTGCAAGCATGAAGTATCTTCTGTATCGCTGGTTGTACACCACAGGCTAAAGACACTAAAGGATGAGCCACAATCTTGTGTCTAAAGAGAGTTTCAGAGCTCCAGTCCTGGGCAGTCTGAAATCCTCCCTTCTTAGTGTCCCTGACCAGAATAAACAAGATTCAACACGGTCTTGGGGTAGGCTCTAACATGTTAGCCCTCTAACCAACCTTCACTTTCTCCCTCTGTAAGCCTGTCTTCCATGTAATCAGAAGTAGGATTCAGTCAACAGTTTTAAAAAAAATACTGAACATGGGGCTAGAAAGATGGTCAGCAGCAAGAGGGCTCAGGGTGGATTCCCGGTACCTACATGGAGGATCACTGGCATTTGTGACTCCAGTTCCAGGGATGACACCCTCTTCTGGTTTCCTTGGACACTGCATGCACACAGTGCACAGGTTTATATGCAGGTAAAACACCTAACCCATCATAGACATAATGGAAAATTGTTTTTAAAAGACACTTGGTCTTTCTTTGCCCTTAGTGTGAGGTTTACAACCAGTGGCAGGAGACCCTTATTAACTTTAAACACCTGAAGGTCAAGTCCCAGTGATTCAACATGCAAATTTATGCAAAATAAGCATGACCGTATGGGACAGATAAGCAAGCCTTTGCTTACTTCACTTCCTCTCTAGCTGGCCTGAAATTGGCTTTGCAGAACAGACTGGCCTCAACCGTACGGCAAGCCCCACTCCCTCTGTTTCCAGAGTGCAGAGATGACAGGCGTGAGCCACCATACTCAGCTACTCTGTAGCTAATCCACAGAATTTGGAGATGAGGTGCCCATGCAGTGGGGGCTTGTGTCACTCCTAGTATCCATGACAACCATGGCAGGTATGGCAGTTCTGAGTGTGCAACATCCTCCTGGGATTCCTAGTGGGGGGCTCCTGTGGTTCCCATTTTACAGATGGGAACACTGAAGCTCAGGAAAAACTTACACAAGGTCACAAAAGGCAGAGCCGGGACAGGAGCCCACCCTTGTCTGGCTCCAAAGTCTGTCCCTAGCAACCACCCTACTCGCCTATTCCTCTTACTTGGCATAGATGTGAAAACCACCTGTAGGATGTAGGACACTCCCTTCCTCCAGGTGTTGTGCAGGTAAGGGCAACAGAAGGAAGCTATACTACAATCCAGGAGACCGCCAGGCGTCACTCCAGAGTCATCTCTCGGACACTGTACCTGTCTGACCGAGAATAGTAGTCTCGAGGGCTGGGCTGGGGTGGCTGTGCCCAATTTGGCTTGGGGTTAGTGGAGCAATCCAGGCTGAGGTGTCTTAAGCATCAGCCTGATGCCACATCTGTGCTGAGTTGGCACGGGACGGATTTCAAAACTACTGAGTGTATAATCCCAGGAGACTGAGCTTCTTACAAAGGACGTACTAGCCAGGCTCCTGGCAAACCCACCAAGGGTTAGAGAGCCAGGAGACCATGTCAGAAGCCTCTAGGCTTCCCAAAGGTTAGTGTCAGCAACAGCATCTCCTGTCCACAGGTTGGTGCCTTCTCACAGAACCTGTGAGTCTCACATAGGACTTGAATCACCTCAACTAACTGCTGGTATCCACAGGCCAGGACAGCTCTGCTATGTTACCATGGGTGCTATGCTCATCTTTAAGGGCCACGGCTGAGGGGAAAAAAAAACTATACACAGAAAGAAGGACCCATGTGTCACACAGCTAGAAAGGGGCCACAAAAGAGGGGTTCATTGCAAGATCTAACAGCATGTCTCCCACACAATTCACAGGGGCAGAACCTTCAACTGTACAGAGAAAGCCCCCCTACCATGTAAGAGCAATACGGAATTACATGGGCTCCCTCTGTCCACCTGGACTCACCCAGTTGTTTACGATGAGGCCTAGGTCCAGAGAGTAAGAGGTCCATGTGACCTGAAACACAGTGCCATGGAGTCTCAACCGTGAGACCAGGCAAAGATCCAGCAGACAGCCACAGTGAGCATGCAGGTGACACTGGCACATGCCAGCCAGATGCCACACCTGGGACTCACGACCTCATTTCCCCTTGGGTTAAACTGAGAAGGTCATTTTCTCATACTCCCACATGACAGGTCAAGTGATAGGTTTCTAGGCCTAGAATTGGAATCTGAGCCGACTCCCCAACCTGCTCCTAACTCCTTCTGTCTGCCTACAGCTAGTGCTAAGGAAGAAGGCTGTTTTCCATGGTCACTGCAGTGAATGCTACAGAAAAAGCCTACTGTTTTATTTGGGGGTTCTAATTGTGAACCTATCACTGTAGCTCCTACCAAAACGATAAGTGGTTCTTTGTTTTGTTTCCGAGACAGGGTTTCTCTGTGTAGCCCTGGCTGTCCTGGAACTTACTCTGTAGACCAGGCTGGCCTCAAACTCAGAAATCCGCCTGCCTCTGCCTCCCAAGTGCTGGGATTAAAGGTGTACACCACCACTGCCCAGCGATAAGTGGTTCTAATGTGCCCTGGCAGTTCATAAACACTACCGGGCCTTCCGAATGCTACTCCCTTCAACCCCAAAGAAGAGAAAGGGGCCTTTAAAAGCGTGGGCTGGCAAAGGTCTTCTAGGCTTTGCTGGGCCAGGCAACAGGCATCAAAGGCACAGCTATGGGACAGGGGGAGTCTAGAGCCCCCTCACCACTCCTGTCCCCACCCCACCATAACTCACCTGGGATGTGCTTGGCCCAGTTAATGAGGAACACAAGCTCCCGATCTGCCAGTTCACAGAGAGTGGTCAGGGCCTTGATATCTCCTTCCGGTATATTGTCGGGAGGCATAGCATACAGCTTGTCCTGCTTAACCCCCAGGAGATCCGAGACGATCATAGTCACTGTAATGACCAAACAGGGAGCAAACAGTCAATGCCTGGGGAAGAGTGGGGACAGAGTCCAAGGGAAGGTCAAATATGACTGAAATCGGTCTGTCTGTCTGCCTGCCTGCTAACATCACACAGCTGCTAGCGACAGTGATGTGAGCACTGAGATGTTCCTGCGATGGGAAGCTGATCAGAGGACCCTGAATGGGAGAGGATGACCATGGAGACAAGGTCTGTATACTGGACTGGGGGCCTTATTTCACATGGAGGTGGGGTTTATGCCATCCCATATAGACAGGCCTTCTGATGAAGCCAGGCAATACCAGGCATTGTTGGCCATCTTTAGATCCATACTGCCTACCACCCAGTGGAGGGAAGACAGAACCACCCCGGGAAGATGCCAGGTATTCCACGCTGAGAAAGGCAGCAGGGCCTGCTTGATACACACATGGCTTTTTAGCAGGTGGGGAAATCTGTAAGTTCAGGTAGGGGCTGTTCTCCGAATCCAGCCGTCGCTTGTACTTCTGGCGGCCTCCTCGAACTCGGTCAAGACGCACACCTGTCGGACAAGAAAAATGTTGGCTTAAAGAGTTGTTCCAAATCGTAGGCGAGTGAGCCCTGATTTTAGAACTGCTGCCCTGGCTAAGAGTTTCATAGCTATGCCCAGAGGGCCAGCGTCATGCCAGAAGAGGAGACATCATCTGACCTCCATCCCACCAGCTGTACCTGGTCCTGCCTCTCCAGGTTCAGCTCCATCCTAAAAATCACCTCGAGACCTCTAGCCTCTGAGACCTCAAGCGAAGGCTCAACAAAGCCCTCTGCCAAACAAGTGTCTCAGTTCTGTTCTGCATCCAGGGAGAACTGGGTTCATTAAGCTGGGAAAGGAGGGCTAGAGATGTAGGCTAGTTAGTACCGTGCTTGCCTGGCATATGCAAAGCCCTGGGTCCAATCCCTAACACCACATTTTTAAAGGGTTGGGGGACGTATGGCAACACATGCCTGTGATCGCAGCACCCAGGGGAATCAGGAGTCAGCTTTAGCAACATAGGGAAATTATGACCAGCCTGGGCTACATGAGATTACCTCAAAACTAAAAAGGCAGATGGAGAGTCCTCAGAGAGAGAAAGCAGGGGTTACTGCCTCGGAGGCTAAGTTCTTCTGTACTTTCCCCTGAAGGTAAGAGTATAAGAGTAACGCACCTCTGTCTGCCCTTCCTTTTCCAGGAAATAAACAATGGTGGGTGGTGGTCAGCAGCTAGCCTACACCCAACTCAGACCACCCCCCAAAGAGAAAGCTAAAGTGGCCACTGATAGAGGGGTGATTTACATCCCATTCATGCCTCAGGCTGCTTCTTTGATAGCTAGTTATGTGCAAACAGTCCAAAGGAAAAGAAGCCCACAAGAGAGTAAGAGCAATTGAAAGTGAATGATCGGGCACTCAGGGCTAAGGAGTGGGGAAGACACCCACACATCCACACCCAGTTTCCAATTAAAGGCTGCAGCCCAGACCCTCTCCCTGAGGGGAAAGAAGGTGTTGAAGCTAAGGCAAGAGCCAAACCCAGCAAGCCTCTGACCAAACTGCTTCTTACTCAGCCACAACTAGCCCAGGCTGGTCTCCAAAACTAACCTTGAACTTTGGATCTTTCTGCTTTCACCTCAGAAAACAAGAGACATGTGCCATCATCCCTGGTTTACACAATGGGGGCTGGGGGGCGGATAGAAGGCAGGGTTCCTTCTGTGCTAGGAAAGCATTCTACAACGGAGCTACACATCCTCAGCTCCTCCGCAGTCTTTTAATCCCTCACTGGAACTTCTGTAACAGGTGAGGCACAAGGCTGGAGTGAAGGCTGGCTGAGAGGGATTCAGGACCCTGCTCCTACCTTCTACTTAATGCTAACTCCACTATGGAGGGAGGGTCATCTTATTGGAGGTGCTGTGCTGCACTCCCACGGGAATGCTCTCTATCTCTACCCTTAGAGACTGATGAGTCTGACCCAGGCCCATCCAATGGGAAGGAAGAAGGGTACAGAGTGTGTGTGTGTGGAGGTGGGGGGGCAGCCTCAGGTTACTCTCATTCCATGTTCCTAAGCATTCTGGGACTGGCTGCTTTCTAAGCCTGGTCCTTAGACCTCTTGAGAAGCTACCAACAACTCCCTACTCTGTTTAGAGGCTCAAATAGTGGTGACTGACAGCGTCTGTGTTGATTTCTCTAAGGGCAGAACCTGAGCAAAGGATGAACATGCAAGCAACTGTGAGAGAGAAGAGAAAGGATTCTGCTGCTAGCTCTGTCAGCCCAAGTTGCTGGTACTATTCAGTAACTGGTGATCTGACCCAGGCTGAGCCATTTGGTAACCAAAGCTCTGGGGCAGAACTGAAGTCACAGGATGTTAAATCAGCACACACAGCATGGCTAGTGCTGACAGGTGAGAAGGGTGGTCTCCTTCTCAAGGTGTGGTCCACAGGCCAGTAGCATCACCATCATCTGAGGCTTGTTAGAAAAGCAAATTTCTCAGGCCCTAGGCAGGAGGAACAAATAAGCCTCTCACTCTCTAGCTGGCCTCGAAATTGCTGAATACAGCCAAGGATCAAGGACGACCCTGACCTTCTGATTCTCCTGCCTCTACCTCCCCAGTGCTGGGATTTTAGGCATGTGACTGTGTGACAGGTGACACCCACCATGAGCAGTTTATGCAATACTTGGGGTTCGTGTCAGGGCTTTATGCATGCTAGGCAAGAACTCTGCTAACCAAGCTATATCTCTGGCCCTCATGAAGATGAGCTATGATGTGCAGGGCCTGTGGACACTGCCACAGGGCACTCTGCTGGGCCTGTTCTAGCTCCCACCTCCCCTGGACGTTAGGGGACAAAGGAAATAGCTCTGTTCCCCCAGCACAGACCTTTGTGTCTCACTCCCGGAAAAGTAGAGAGGAGACTCCTGCTTAACTGTTCTCCCACTAGAACTAAGCTCAGCTCACTCCTTGCAATGCCAACACAACAGAACACTACCACAGAATTCACAGTGGATGCGAAGAACCCCCCGGCACCTGGCATGTGCCAAAGGCTGATGGGCCCTCTCATTCTGAATCCACTTTCTCCACTCCTTTTCCCCAGAAGTCATGCCACGGGAGTCTCCTCTTCCCCAAGCTCTCCTAACTCTACAGTGGCTGTTCATCCCCCACCACCAGGTAACATACACCATGTGTTTCTTCACAGCACCATGGCTTCCCCTGCTGGTGTCCCTTAAGGTCAGGTTGTGCCATGGCACCTGATAACCATCGGGTGCTTAGGAAGAACACTGTGTTCAACTCCCTGGTAAGTCATAAGGGCAATGGTTAACAGCATGGTTCACAAAGGACTTTATATACACACTGTTCAACCCACAACATATGGAGTGACTGTGATTACCCTCACTTAGCAAATAACAGACTGAGAGGAAAGAGGAGCTGGCTGGTTTGTCCATTAAGTGTCCATTTGCCCAGACTCCTTTGCCATTCTGAGGAGTGACCTTCCAGGACACCTCTCAAACTCTCCTCTGCACTTCCACCCCAGATCTTTATAGCCAGGCAGCCAGTGACTCCAAAGGAGTCACATCATCTTCTCTGGTTGGAATTAAGCAAGGATCACACATCTAGAACTGGTGCAAAATGGGTCTGCTCTCTTTCTAAACTCCTGCCCCACTTTAAACCTACGAAGCTTATAACAGACCTGTAACCCAGGGAACCCAGGGGTCGTGTTCAGGCTGATCTAATTCCTGACCCTTGGAGGAGGTGATTCAATGCTTCAGTGTCCTCCTCTGGCTAGAGGAGGCAGCAATGGTCATACCCACTCTGCTAGAGTCCAGGCTTTCCCCGACAATTGACCTTGAAGTATGTATGGGTGCTGCAGGTGACCTTGCTGCTTTCAGGGCCACCAACACAAGCTTTTCCCATCATGCTGTGGGTTCTATACTCCCTACAGTCCTACATCACCATGGTCAGGATTTGCTAATGATCATTTGGAATGGAGGAACATGGGCCTGTGCTTCCTGATCTGTGGTGGCACATTGGGTGCCACCTCCAAATCCAGTGACCTTGTCCTTCTTGCTCAGTGCTTGATAGCTCAACTTTGCAGTTGAATACCACCAGCAATCGACAGAAATCTTATAAATCAGGTGTGCTGGTACCTACCTGTAATACCAGCGCTTGGGAATTGGGCATAGAAGGATCAACACTTCAAGGTCACGCTGAGCTATATAGCCAAGTTTGAGGCTAGTCTGGGTTACAAGGGACAGAGGGGGAAAAAGCATCTCCATTTGCTGATGCTTAAGCTACCGGCTATCAGAGGGTGTGGTAGTAAGAGTTAGCCTCACTGCTGATACAATGGACAATTACTTCTAAATTAGAATGCGACTTCAAACCAGAAAGAGAGAGAGAGAGAGAGAGAGAGAGAGAGAGAGAGAGAGAGAGAGAAAATGCAGTCTTTAAATAAGAATGTCTTATTGTTTGTGTAATTATATTAGCAAAAAAGGCAGTCAGGAAGCACAAATAAAATACTAATTAACTTATAGTTACCATCTCAGATTAATAGAGCCTATCATTTCACTGAGACTTTCCAAATATAAAAAGGTATTAATAATGTGAATATGAAAATCCTTGCTGATCTCCAAATACTTAGTATCACGCGGCCCTTGCCCTAACTACTGTTGGATAATGTTTAACCCCTTCAGATACAGAGAAATTTAATGTTTAGATAGCATTTCATGAATATGAATATATATTAATATATATACATATATACATATACACACACACACACACATATATATATATATATACATATATATATATATATGATTGGTAATCAATGCAATTCATTTCTCATAGCTATGGGCAAACAAGGTCCTTGAGTTTTGGCCAGAGCTAGACTCCTGGACAAGTGTGATAAGTTCCTAGTATATGCAGAATAGTGGCTGAGGGCAGATCTGGGTAAACCCAGATGCATGGCTACTCGGGTGGTACTGGGTAATGGTTTTCACCTCTTGTACCTCCACTTCTTGGCCTCTAAGATGGGGTAATAGTGCCAATTTTACAGGGCTAACAGCTCACTTAATCCTTATGTCACTTCATGTGAGCATTTGAAAACCTTCAGTGGCAAATAGTATTTGTTAAATAAATGCTAATACCAAAATACCTCAACCTGAAGGAGGTTCTGCACCGCTGCTGTTACCAACATCAGCATCTTGATTGTATAGTGTTGTATTTTCAAGACACCGTGATGGGGAAAGTGGGTGAAGGGTACGTGGTATGGCTCTGAATTTTCTGACAACTGTAACTCAATGATCTCAAAATGAAAAGTTTAAAAACTTCTAGAAAATTCCTGTGGAGGTATAAAATAAGTATATATGCTGGTAGCTTAAAAAACTACCCAGAATCACCACAAACCCCACTCCTGGGTTTCCACTCCAACACAGAACTGAAGATGGAAATAAGCCAGTGTTAGCTACAACACAAGTCATGGGCCCTCGAGGCAAGGAGCGACCTCGTGGCCATCAGATGCCACTGACAAACAAACGTGGCCTATA